TCTTGCTAGGAATTATGGGTATTGTATTTTATCTTTAATAGAAAATCCATATTTTTAACTTAGAATTCTAACAATCCAAATCTGCAACAGACAACATTTAAATTCATAGGTATAAATATCACAGTTTCATCACACCACACTAACAATGGTGTCAGTAACTTCTTGCAGCAGTGTGAGATGTAAAATGTAAGGGTTCCCAACCTGCCCTCTTCCCTGCACCACCAAAAACAGTTGGAAGAAAGGATTTTATGTTTGCACCTTGGTAATTGTTCCTTTAGAAATTCTGTTCCTTAGGACCCCCCATTTCACATCCTTGAGTGTTAGTGTATCATTTAAGGTAATGAAAAATATGCGCAGAAAATGTAGGTAATTCAGGTCATGTTAGCCAGTCTCTTCTCCAGAATTGAGTAAAACTCTAGCCTGCCCTTGCTGCCTACAAACCTCTAATTCCTGTGAATTAATCTTATGTTACCATTTCAAGTTGAAAATTCCATGGCAGCATATCTCTGTAATAGCAATAGTCAGTGTTTTAATGGGAATTCAAAAATTAAATAACGCTGATCAATAAAGAATGAAATGCAACTTTTAAAAAATGTTCAGGACATCTCAAAGCAGTTTGCAGAAAATTAAATTCATTTTAAGTGTAATCATGCTACAATGAAAGAAATTGTGGCAGCCAATTAATGCACAGCTCTGACATAAAGTTTTATTGCTTTATTGATAAATACTGATCGGGACACCAGGAAAGCTGTCCCATCCTTCATATAATAGACCTCCAAAGGTAAAGGTGCTTTTGGAGCTCGTGTAAAGGATGATGGCTACAAAATTTGACTTCGTAGTGCCACTAGTTTCAGAGTTACAGGAGTTAGATGATGACAAGAATGAAGTATTTGTGACAGTGCAGTACTCCTTTAACATTACTGAACTTTCTGAAGTGGTGCTTGAAACAAACACCTTTGGATTCAGGCAGAAATGCCACCTCTAAGGCAAGGTTATAATTGATGTAGCCATCCTGTTACCAGTTGAAACTCTGAATGAATGTCTAGAGTATTTTTCTGTTTCCAGTTGGTTTTCTCTTTCAAAATCATTTGAATAAAAACTCTTAGGAAAATTTCACAAGTATTGATCTGCTGAAGATTTAACATTCAGTCTTTGTTATAAAACAATGGTTGTTTGTAGCTCCTCATCTGATGATCGGCTCAGGAGCCGATGTCTGTCAATGTCAGGGTGAGTGCACACACTTCATTCACTGGTTCACTCCCTGTAGCTGTATTGCTCAGCCTGCCTTCAATGACACTAATTAGCATGGAGTGGGACAAGCCCAGAACATCACATACACAAGCCTGGCCATGATATAAAAGAACGAGAGTATACTGATTATACACTTAAAATGTCAGATAGTCTGGGGAGCTTGAGACGGCGGTCTGGAAAATCCTAGTCTTTGTCTGCAGCTTATGTACAACAGAGCAGAATATTCATCGAAGGCTGCAATCATCCTAAAACCAGGGTTAAGAACAGTTGTAGAGTTGAGGGGGGCTTTGGACACCTGTAGAAATGAGCCAATCTGAGCTATTTTACCCTTTCTGACAAAGACCGGAAGCCTCTGAGTGGCCAACTAAAGCCTGGAATCTTTTTTTAATAGTCAACATCTGTACTTCAAGTAGAAGAAAAACAGTCCGAACAGACATTTATGAAAGAAAAACTTCCACTACAGTAAGGTAAGCACTTTGACTCTGCAGGACAGGAAAAATCCAAATAAGGCTGTGCCACATTCCCTATGAATGGATTTTAGTCTGAGTGACCAAATAAATATAGAACATAGAACATAGAACAGTACAGCACAGTACAGGCCCTTCAGCCCACGATGTTGTGTCGACCTATTATCCTACTCTAAGATCAAACTCCCCTGCATACCCTACATTTTACTATCATCCATGTGCCTATCCAAAAGTCTCTTGAGTGCCCCTAATGTATCTGACTTCACTACCACTGCTGGCAGCACATTCCACACGCCCACCACCCTCTGTGTAAAGAACCTACCTCTGACATCTCCCTTATGCCTTCCTCCAATCACCTTAAAATTATGCCCCCTTGTAGCAGTAATTTCCACCCTGGGAAAAAGACTCTGGCTATCCACTCTATCTATGCCTCTCATCACTTTGTACACCTCTATCAAGTCACCTCTCATCCTTCTTCGCTCCAATGAGAAAAGCCCTAGCTCCCTCAACCTTTCCTCATAAGACCTGCCCTCCAGTCCAGGCAGCATTCTGGTAAATCTCCTCTGCACCCACTCTAAAGCTTCCACTTCCTTCCTATAAGGCGACCAGAACTGAACACAATATTCCAAGTGTGGTCTAACCAGGGTTTATAGAGCTGCAGCATAACTTCATGGCTCTTAAACTCAATTCCCCTGCCAATGAAAGCCAACAGACCATATGCCTTCTTTACAACCCTATCAACTTGGGTAGCAACTTTGAGGGATCTATGGACGTGGACCCTAAGATCCATCTGTTCCTCCACACTGCCAAGAATCCTACCATTAACCCTATATTTTGCATTCAAATTCAACCTTCCAAAATGAATCACTTCACACTTTTCTGGGTTGAATTCCATCTGCTACTTCTTTGCCCAGCTCTGCATCCTGTCAATGTCCCGTTGCAACCTACAACAGCCCTCCACACTATCCACAACTCCACCAACCTTGTGTCATTAGCCCAACCTTTGTGTTATCGACATATATGTTTCTACTGACTCATGCAAGTAATAATGTTTGTCTTCTCTCATCAATGCATGTTAACCTGCAAATGTTATTAATTTTGTTCAATCTATTCTTTAAAATCTGTGGTGATGTTTCAAAAATTCCTTGAAATCGATAAGCTTAGAGTTCCAAATTCAGATAGGTATGTCCCCTCATGCAGAAATCTGCACTTGCTCCCCTGATTTCAATAAAAATCATAAAGTGTCTCTTTTTTTAATCTTGCTAATGCCTTCCATACATTTTTTTGGCTGGGAATATAATCATGGAATCCCTACAGTGTGGATGCAGGCCATTTGGCCCATCAAGTCTACACTGACCCTCTGAAGAGCATTCCACCCAGGTCCATCCCCCTACCCTATCCCTGTTACCCAGCATTTCCCATAGCTAATCTACCTAGTCTGCACATCCCTGGAAACTGTGGGCGATTTAGTTTGGCTAATCCACCTAACCTGCATACGTTTGGACTGTGGGCGGAAACTGGAGCACCAGGTGGAAACCCATGCAGACATGGGGAAAATTTGCAAACTCTACATATGAACAGTTGCCTGAGGGTGGAATTGAACCTGGGTTCTTGGCGCTGTGAGGCAGCAGTGTTAGCCACCATGCCACCCCATAATAGATTAAGTATTAATTATTTCAGTTCATACTTATGCATTGTGATTGCAAGGTTTTGTAGCAAGCAAATATTGGAATCATTTTAAATAATGGCAACGTCTGTGAAGGGATCATGGTCAAAGTTACAGTAAGGAGAATAGATATATACTTAAGTTCTCTTTGCTCCCCACCAAAAAAAAATTGTCCTTATTGCATTGTTTGTTTGCAGCGAGACCCTGGCAAAGCCCAAGAAAGGTTGTTTAATCTAACATATCTGTTTCTTAGAAATGGTCATTTTGCCTAATAATTGGAGCTCTATTTATCCAGTTTCAGATCAGTGCCTACAGAGGCATTGCCATACCTGTTGTAGCAATATTACTTTGTTCTACAGATCTGAAAACAAATCAAGAAACCTAGTCTGGTTAATCTTTGAACTCAATGTTCAACAGTTTTAATTCATCGTAAAAGGACTTTTTTGTTCTTGTCTGGACCAAATCACCAGAGTGATAAGAGATAAGGGAGACTAAAGTCTTTGCTCACAAGTTCCTATCATACTGTACTTCTACAGGGAGAAGGGATTTCGAGAAAAGTCTTACTTGAAATAAAATTCTGACACCACACAGTTCAAAGTTTTAAAAGTTATGCTCATAATAAGTATTTCAGAAACATTGTGTGGAGTGGTATTGGAGCCTAAATGATGTGGTGAGAAGTGTGGCAGAGTCACATGAAGAGCCCAGTGAGGCCAATATTGACATCAGGAGAGCTCACTGTGTCTAGGGAATAGCAAGTTACATATTAAGGGGATTATTGTTTTTGAACACCCTTATTAAATGCAAATCTCACCTCATTGATATGCAGCTTCCTATGCTACCACCTACTGTGAACAAGCTAGAAATCAAAACTACATGATGGGAAAGATAATGTCTGTGATCACACATAGAGTGGATCAAGTAAGTGTCACAATCTGTGAGGGAGCAGGTTTGAAACACCACTGATGTGAGGTCCTTTAGAAGGAAACAATGTTACACGCAAACCCATGCACTGAACAGTACACAGACTTGTGAGCCCCTTGACCCTTGCGATTCTAATGCATTGACTCCCGTATGTGCTGTACACTTCTTTGTTCTACACATCATTAACCACTTCATTCACAGCAACACTTTTTCACAAAGAGACCAGGGAAAGATTAGTGGGGGCAATGTGCCAACAGAACCCAGCCAGCCTTTATACACACCTTGTTCCTCTTGCTCCCACGTGCTGCAGCAGATTCTCAATGTAGACATCGATCCATGAAGTTAGGCATCATGCTGGCATGGTTACATTCGGCGCTGAATGGCAATTCAAACAAGCAGATGTATTGGAAAACCAATCACATTCATACATGTGTGATAATTTATATACAGTGCGCTGCTATCAAAGTATCCTCAAAGGTATCTTTCATCCCACCATGTCTTAATGTTGTCCCAGGTTGTGGCAGTTGGGTTGGAAGGTACCTGCTTAGCAGTGGAGTTCATTGGTCTTAAAATTTTCATAGGATGAACCCAGGGACATTTTGTCTGAAGAGACTAATGCACAATGGGTCAACTCACTAGAGGCCAGGGTGGCCTTGGTTCAGCCATCTCTGATGTGTCCTGAGAGAAGACTTTACAAGGTTTGTGTATGGTTCCTTTTCCAGCTGGGTGCCACTTGGCACTGTCCTGTATCCCACTGAGGAAGAGTCCTGTGCCCCTGTCACTGTGGTTTCAGTCATAAGGACCAATGGCTGGCCGATGGAGTGCAGATGTATGAGCCTCTCCAACAGGGTCTGAGAGGGCTGAACCCGGCTCTCTGCGGCAGCCACCAACCTTTTCAAGGAAGCAGCCAGCTTCTGGACAATGAGGGTCATTATCTCCATATACTTGTCTGTTTTTGCGCCTTCCTGTGCATGTGGATAAAGTCCCTGATTGCCAACAACACAGGCCCTCTCCTGCCTGGGGCTCAGAAGGTTCTCAGACTCCCACAGTCCTTCAAGTGCCAGTGACCTGGGACGTTTCTTCCTTGGCCAGCTGTGGATTGTTGTAATGAGGTGCTCACCAGATGGTGCTCCCAAACTTTCCAAATCTGACATTCCCACCGAGTGGTCAGTATCTAAGTGATTGGGGGTAATGGTAGGCAGCCTTGCTGATGCTTCCTCTGAGGCTTCAGAACTCTTCATTAGAACTGGAGGTGGTGGCTTCTAGTAGAGCAGTCCATTTCTCTGCAGGGGCTGGCAGACATCCTGCTGGTATCTAGAAGGCACGTGAGAGAGAGAAGGCATTATGACCAGTGATTAGAAGTGATGTACGATGAATCAGATTGACAGTGGGGATAGTGGGAGAGTTGCAGTGGATCAAAGAGTGATACTTACTTAGCTGGCAGAACATGGATTACTCAATGCCCCTGCAGGAGCGGTTGCTGCCTTTTCCTGTGAAGGACTGGGATGAGAAGCTTGATATCAAAGAACCCCTCCATCCATCTGGGCTTTTTCTCTTCTATTGTGGGCCGACTTCTCCTGAAATGTGAGAAAAGGAGGGATTGAGTGAGATGGAAGGCTGTACATGGTGGATATGTGGTGAGATGTCCCGGACAAGTGAGTAGGCAGGTCAAAGGCCATGCCAAGTTAATGGTGTGGGAGGTTGTGATTGAGAACATTAAGAATATTGGTATGTTCCTGATCCTCATTATTTCTGGAATTTCTTGCTGATGCAGTAGTTTGCCTTATACAGTCAATCACCAGTTTCCCTAATGCTTCACCAAAAATGACTTTCTAATCATTACAGTTCCGAATGCTAATAGAGAAAGTCTCTGTGCAGGTTTAATGAATAGTTGGTGCTCTTTGTTCACTACTGACTGCAAAATCTGGACACTCTTTTTGTCTTAGTGCTGTTTAGTTCCTCCAAATTAGTTTCCAATGTAAACAATATAGCAGTTTATGTTATTTTTCGAAGTTTTGAGAGTCCACGCTACTTGGGTAACCTAAAAATGCTCCCAACATACATATCAATGGTAAAATGGTTCATTGTTTAACCTGAGCATACTAATCCAGAGCTAGGTGCATGTAAGGTTAAGAATCTGATCAAAGGACTTGCATACAGTAATTCAGTCTTGAGTAGGGCATGAGCCAAAAATAATTGCTGGAGAACTTTAATGGCAATTGCAAACAATTCTCATGTATTAGTACAAAATATGGAACAGTTTGTTATTTTTAATCAACCTTGCATCCATATTTATAGAATATTCCACTTCTTAAAACAAAATGAACAGATGGAAAATAAAATATACTTACATTTATAAACTACCTTTAATGACCGCAGAATGTTACAAACTGCTTTACAGCCAATTAAGTATTTTTTTAATATTCAATCACAGGATGTGGGCACCAACAATTAGACCTGTATTTGTTGCCAATTTGGAGTTCAGACGGTGTTCTACAAGGGAAACACAGAAGCCAATTTCCAAACAGCAATATTGGACAAACAGCAATATGATAATAAGCAGATAGTCTGTTTTCCCAATGTTGATTGCAAAATAAGTGTTTTTTAAGATACATTCAAGAACAACCCTATCAGTTCTATTTCCTGTTGAGCTCATGGCAGGGCATGTTTTATTTCCGATTCAAAGGGCAGAGTTGACCTCAGTTTCACAACTTATCAGAAAGAAAGCACCTCCAACAGTGCAGCACCTTCTCAGTCCTCACCTTTTTGTCCACAACAGAGTCTTACCTTTGAGCCACAGTTGAATTATGAGAAAATGACAATTAATTGTCTAGCAGTTTCTGATGTTAGTTATTTAAAAAGTCATTTCTACATAAAATATAACTGCAGCTTTTGAAGGTAAACTCTGAATAACACATGAATGTAATGGTGAGATAGTGGTGTCATGGCAATATCATTGGACAAGTAAACCAGAGGGTCAGATTATTGCTCTGGGAGATACAGGTTCAAATCCCACCATGCTGTTAGTGGAATTTGAATTCAATTAATTAATTAATACATCTGAAATTGTAAACGAATGGCAGCCATAAAACCCCATCTGCTTCATGATATCCTTTAGAGAGGAAATCTGAATTGTATCTCTTGACCCTCAGCAACATGGCTGAATCGTAATTGCCCTCAGAAATGGACTAGCAAGCTATTCAGTTCAAGGGAAATAGGGATGGGAATTAAACATGCTAACATCTCAAAAAATAACAAATACAGTCATAACCCATCTTTTATTCCTTTTTACTTAAGTCAGTCAGTACCTTATTTCTAGCAGTTGCTGTTTTGAAGTGATGGGGAAACTTATTGAATTTGAACCCTAATTTAAATTAGTATAAATTGAATCCCTTTTGCACTAACACGTGCTGGTGGGTGAATAACATGTTTTTGCTTTTGAATTATGCGCCAAATTACTTTGGATGTGAAATATCAGAAGACACAGAATTGTACTTTTCTTATGAACAAACAAAACCCTAATCAAAAGGATCGCATAGCAAAGTTTCTGACACCCATGATATTTAAGTCACTTGGGGTAATACAGTGTGTCAAAGTCTGCATTATTTTATAAAATAGTAAAGTATACATTTCCTCCAACGGAATAGGTAATATATGATGCAATATTGGTAACCACATGCTCATCTGCTTGTGTTGAATCATTCTGTTGCTGCAGCTTCTATTAAAGAAGGAACATCTCAGTGAAACGATCGGACAACTGGAATCTTATGTGGGTGCATTAACATGCCCATTATCACATAATGTAACTTTTCAACTTATAAGCCAATGCATCTCCCTAACCCAAATATCCTTGAACAAATGATAAGTTACTAAATCAAGCCTTTCATGTTAACAAAATCAAAGTGTTTTCATAACCAGCTGTAAAGTGATAAAATGTAATGCATGTGGTATAAAATTTGATTTATGCAAGAATTGAAAGGAAGCTGCAAATAATAAAAGTAATAAATCATTATTCATACAGGACACAATGTGATCTTAATAAAAAGTTCAAAGATAAAAGGATCTCCTTGTTTCTGTTGAACTGGCAGCATGTCCTGAATTTAACAGAGCTGAAAACGATGCCTGAATGAATTAGATCAGTGACTGAAGGATTTGAGGTTCAATCTGTACTGAGTCCTGTTTGTTGTCAGACTTTGAATGTTCTCACTGTTTATTATACTCTTTTGAAAAAAAAATACATATCTATTTTTAGCTTGGCTGGCGCAGGATGGATGTAGATTCCAGGCTATGGATTTCTCAAGGCTGTTGGTGATTCACTGCACGTTTGAGTAAATGATTCCAGAATAGGAACAAAATAGGAAAAAATCTTACATCTAGAACTGTTTACGAGCAGGTGAGAAGCAGTAAGATTTAAAATCTCAACTCCAGAAACTATGGTTTGGACATTTTGCATTAACTCTATTGGAAGGAGCCATTAGATTATTTCCATGTGTAATTAGGGGCCAATTGCCTGTTTCAGCTCCCTCTTGCAAATTTGGTTTGCCCAAGGCAGCCAGCACTGGAGCTGTCTGCTGGAAAGCCAAAACTAAGAAAGACGGAATTATATACACATAAAACAATTCTACTTAGCTTAATCCTTTCTGCCCCTCATGCTGAAATCTCTGACCTTACTTTTGACTCCTACCTACTAACCTTCCAACAGACATGGTAGTAGAGCTGATGCCCAGTAACACAGCAGATGCCAGCAATCCTCCTTCCAGTCCATCTTCCATCCCTAGCTCTTCCGAATTTCCAACAATATTTCAGGCACACATTATCTTTATACCCTCACAATGACTGTACATGGGGTCCAGCTGTTCCACTTTTGACAATCTTACCCATTTACTTCTTAAAATTACTTACAGTTGAACATTAGTTCAAGGACTGCGGTTTCACTTTCTACATAATAATAATGTCTGAAACATACTTATCTGGTTGGGCTCTTCATTTCAGGGCAGGCTGCTAGCCCTGTGTGGTTGGTATGTCCTGCACCTCATTTAAATTACCTCATTTGACTTCCTCAGGAAGAGTAGTCTGGAGGCTGTTCAGTGACTGCAAGTAGGTGGCAAATTTGGCCAGTGGGTGGTCCCTGGGAGAATCTTGTATTTGACTAGGGAGGAAGCCTACAGCTGAGGAAGCATAAGTAGAAATGTGTTCTTCCTGCACAAAGAGCCACAAATTAAGTTCTTTAGTAAAAAACAGTTAAAATAAATATTTTATTTGGGTCTGTTCCAGAGCTTTCCTACTGTATTTTCTTGCCTGGATTATCCAGGTAGCTGAGATACAATTGTTGTTGCATTGTGTTTGCCACCCTTGAGCCCTGACCCGCATTTAGAAAGGTGCCACCAACATTGGGCAGTTTCTTTGCCACAGGCTAACATCTGAAAAAGTTAGGTCCAGGCCAATGAGTATTGTTGGGGTGACTTTAAACATTTACCCTTTGGCTTCCAGTGTACAAGGGGGTTATCTTACAGTGGTCCAGTTACTGGTACTGAATCTCCCTCACCCAGTATAGGTAACTGGCTCCTGGATTCAAACTTAAGTCCAAGTATAGCTGCCCGAGAATCTATCATTCCACCAGTTGTTATTTAATTAGCTTTGGTAGATTTCCATTAAACCACCAATGTTGGCACATGCTTCAAATGCATCATACTATATATATTTATACCCAGGAAAAATGTTAGAAAACTTTAATATTCTGCATTGTTTAAACTAACAATTGAATGATTATAAACAAACAATATTATAAAAGCACTTCCTTTGAGATATTTTCAAGAATTCTTTACATGAATCATTTAATCACAAATGTCTGTATGCACATTAAATTCATTACAATCTTCACTTTAGAGGATTGCAAACCTTTTATGTGTTTGGAAGCATCAAAGCTATGCTAATTGAATTAAAAATTCCACATTTTACTGACTATTTCGAAAAGCGCCATTGTGGAATGAACTTTGTTGTTTCAGTTTTAAAATGTTGAGTGATCTATAAAACAAATATCTCTGAATGATACTTCGATGTGATTAGTGACTCTCAAGGAAATTAACAACTCATTCACTCTACAGGTCTAAACTGCAGTTTAAAAATGATTAGGCAAAAATTGTGAAACAAGTAT